CAGTCTAGAGGGGGGGGAGGTGGGGTTGAAGGGAAGGGGAGTAAGGATATGTTTATGTGACTAGATAGATAGATAGACGTATAAATATAATTGATAATTGATTGGTTTTGAGAGTTGGTTTTGAATTTGAATTTGAATTTGAATTTGCTGCGAGAGGTAGGTAAATATAGGTGTAGTCTGGTACGGGCATGAATTAGATGAGATAGAGGAGAGATAGAGATAGAGATAGAGAGTGGTGGCTAGATAGATAGCTGCGTAAGTAAGGTAAGTAAGGTAAGCAAGTGAAAAAATGCTTGTTGTTTGTTAGACGACGGTCGAAGAGAGATGATGGGCGTATGTTGAAGAAGAAGGATTTTTAGAGCATGGGTTGTTGATGTAGGTACTTGACGTTTTTTTTCTTGCGGATGCATTTCTGAGGAACATAACAGTACTGTGAGCGGGACAAGATAGACTTCAATATGAGGTTTGTGGATAATGAATGTAAGGAAGGAAGGAATATGGACAGTCCCTAACCATGAACTGAGACTTGTCTGTCATCAGATCTTAAAAAGACGAACCCCCCTTCTCCGGCGGCGGGATCTTTGAGTTTCATTGGAGGTGCACAACGAGGAATCAATTAATTACGAGAGAAGAGGACCGACTTGACCAACCAAACTCCGGCTTGTATATCTGATGTCCTTCCTGCATTTTTCTATTTCTATTTTCTAGTTTGAGATGAGAGAAAGTTTGGTTTTGTGAAATTTGATGTAGGTACTGATGGTAGGGGATTGGATGTAATAATCTACTGGATTCGTGGATAAGAAGAAGAGAGGAGAGTGTCTTTTTCTTCTCACGACTTCTTCATTGTATGCGCTTTTGCTAATAAATGTCCTAATAATGTATGTGCATTAGATGGCGGGAGCAGAGAGCTAGGGCTGCGGTGGACGATGGCGGAAGAAGCGTTGAATGAGTTCGATGTGAAGATTGGACAGTGGTGAGGGAGGTGCTAAGACTCTCTGGGAAGGTGTATTTGGTTCTTTGACTCGACCCTGAGAGCTCGCGAATACCACTGCTCTTCTGTAAGATTCGGGTGGAATTCGCGAGCTCTGCGATCTATTTGCCTGGTCCTGATTTTGCAGTTCAGAGCCATTAAAGCAGAATGCTTTCAATCACGCCGAGAGCGACTAGACACATAAGAGATGCTTACAAGTGAAAAAGGGAATCAAAGTCCGAGAAAAGGAAGAGTTAGGGCTTCAAGCTTGCTTTACTGTGCGCCCATGAAGCTCGCGCGAGCGGAAGGTGACGCAGTATCCAAGTTTCCCACGACCTGAAAAATCTGTTGTAAGCATGTGCCAATCGGCATCCAGTGGATGTGAGCCGTAGTACGGTAAGTAGTCATTTCCTAAAGTAGTGTTCAAGATCCGTCCCATATTTCCAGCTTTTCCTGCCTCTTCAGACACTCTAGCAGCGTGAGAGGCTGTGAATGTACCCTGGGAACTATAATCCAGGACCGAGTGCGACTGATTCGATTCGTGGTGCGGATATTGAAGATGCTGCCATGCGTCATCCCTCACGGCATTCGTTCCTCAAGCGTCCATCACCGTAGATCATGTGCCCAGTCACCAATTCTCTCCTCTGGATGTGACAGGTGCAGATGAGACGTAGCAACTCTGGAGCAAGAATCCAATGGTTCCCTTCCAGGCCTCATTATAGCAGCAGTTCTGCCTCGAGGCCTGAGGTGACTCGTTCGGACCAGCACTGACGACCCTCCACGTACGCGCGGGTCCTGTCAGATAAGAGGGGATTATTTAGATTGCGCCATGGTATGGAGGGGAGTTCGGAAGTGGTCCCATCAGATACACCTCCTACCCTGTGACCCTGGGGTCGGATAGAAGAGGAATTGAGGGCATTTTCGAGCAGCAACTAGACTGCGAGCGCGTACAATTTGTAATTCTCAAAGAGAACGACGTGGTAGCATGAGGGTAGGCTAACACCAAAGCGTGATAGCAACCATGGTTCAGGCCACCACCAGAGATAGCAAGGAGGCTAATCCGCGGGATGAGGTCCCTAAGCCCCAAGTCCGCCTCCTCTTGACCCCTCGGCTGCCGCCGACCCGTAGTGGCCCAGAGTAGGTACCTGACGGGACCGAAGATCGAGGGGATGGCACGTCGACGGTCGCGGTGACGGCGGACTTCGCTGCCACCCGGGAGGGGCCCCCCAACATCGTCGACGCTGGGGCTAGGAGCGCGGAATTCCCTGGCAGTGCCCGTGGCCCCGTGGAGACCGGACTAGAGAGGAGGACCTGAGTAGAAGGGCGATCGAAATTCGAATGGGGGTTTGAATCGATAGATGGATGGGGGTCGTGCCCAGGAGACTTCTCATCAGACGGTTTAGGAGATATAGTCACGCAATGAAACAAGCGCAGCAGAATGGGGCCGAAAGGAGAGAAGCAAGGCACCGACTAGAGGCTTGGGAGCTGGAGCAGCCTGATGGAGGACTCGCACGGCCAACGGTCTCACTGATACAGGACAGCTGCAGCCAGTACCTACGTTAGGGGAGTCTCAGCGTGGTCGGGCTGGGCGATGCGGTCTGTGGTCATACAATAATAAGATGGGGATTGTATCCAAGTCAATGTGTCAGAGAATAAGCTCCGAAAGGCTCAGGACGAGTGGTTCATGTATCAGATGGCAATCGAATAGAGTTGCGCAGAGTCAGGTAAGGGGTGCCTAAGGCCGGCGCCGGCTTGCACGGGGCAAAGGTTAAACGGACGGCAGCCAATGGAGCGCGGGGGCCGGGCGAGAGATGAGACAGGCGCGCTGCTAGCCGGGCTGGTTATTGAGGGTTTGAACTCTGAACTGCGCGAACTGTGAACTGTTGAACTGTAAACTGGAAACTTGTAACTTACTTAGTGCTGGTTCGTCGTTGACCGCGGCCGAAAGAGGGAATTGCCCATCGAGATAGATTCAGGGCGTGTCTCACGTGTCTTGGAGCCGCTGGCGGTGGGATATTGGGATATTGGGATATTTGGGGATGACGTCTAAGGTACCGTGTCCTGTACCTTGCGGGCAATAATACCAGCTCTTGGCTCTCGCCGGTCCTTCGCATCGCAATTCCGATTACGCAGACGGCGCTGCTAGTCGGGGGGGGGGGCGGTGGTCGGGTTGCGCGTAGTCAGGGCATCCATCCTACACGATTCCCAGGGCCGTAAGTCAGGATATCATGGTACGGGACAGTAAGGTAAGGCAGTTCGGGAGTTCGTTCACCAAGGCCAAGGCGTTGAGGCGTTGAGAGAACCAGAGGGGAGGAGCCTGAGGGGGGCCTGAGGCATAAGGCGCGCAGATGGCAGGGGACTTTGTGCCTTTCTCGATCTTTCGATCGGCGGGTGATGTCATATGTTCATGAGTGCGGTGTGGAAATGTGGCAAAAAGGATTAAGGGGTCTGGATCCGGCACGGGGAGCCGCGCGAAAAAGCATGACCCTGGCCGATGTTCGTATAAGTTCGTGTGGAGTTGTGTCAAGGACTCAAGGGAGCTGGACTGCCCGCTACTCTTAGCTACCTTATCTATCCATATCATGGGCAAGGGAAATAAATTAAGAAGAAAGAAGGGCCAGAACAATGGAAGATAATAATAGGTAATGAATGAATGATCTTGGCTTCAGCGTATGTGGTACTATGGGCAAAGTGCGAAGTGCGAACCCTTTTCGATCCGAGCCTTTGGGCCCTGACCCCCACTCCATTGGACAGGCACTGCGGAGGCGCGTTCCTGGGTCTGCTGGACGGCGGTGGGGCTGATGGGCGGATGATGGCAGTGGCGGGAGAGGATGAGGCTTACCATTTGCTATTTAGTATTTAGTATTTAGTATCGTGTTTTGTATTTAGTGTTTTAGTGTTTTAGTATTTGGCATTTGGCATTTAGCATTTAGCATTTTAGCATTTGGCATTTGGCATTTGGCATTTGCATTTCCCATCTGCCATGAGAAGCCGAGTTATTCAATCAATCAATCCCATGCCCGCAGATACCTTACCTACCTTAGGTAATGCCGCAATCAGCCGAGAGGATAAAATCTGTGTGATGCGGTTGTTGCTGTAAACATGTACATGATGTACCCATGCCCAAGCTGAACCGTCTCCACATCGCAGCGAACGCCACGCAGGACCCTGCCAAGTTCACGATCGCGTGCAGTGGCGGCGCGCGGCCGGGGAGGGAGGCGAGGCGGAGCAACCTCCGTCATGATTTTATTTGCGACAAGAATCAAGAATCAGGTATGTACCTAGGATCAGAGATGGCGGTGGAGGTGACAAGAAGTTATGAACATGATTACTACGACTGTTGTTGTTTGTTATGATGATATGCGTTGTCTTGTATCGGGTTGAGTCGCAGCAGAGATGGAGATGCGAAGGATATGAATGCGACAATGGATATGATGAGGGGAGGGTACTGTAGATAGAGAGAGAGAAGAAGGAAAAGAAGGAAAAAAAGACACTCAAGCGTCATGTCATGCAACTGAAATGCCATCGCTCCCCATCCCTGCCATCCCTGCCCTTCCCTGCCGCCCCTGGGCCCCCCCCTTCCCCCTTCCGCTTCCCCTTCCCTCCATGGGTTAGTCGTCTCCCCCCCCCCTTCCCGCTGAACCTACGAAAGGAACCGCGGAACCAAAGGGCCACACTACTTGTGACTTGAGAGAATCCGATCCTCTGCATCTTTCCCATGGGCAGAAATGTGATAAAGTGATAAAGTGATGAAGTGATGAAGTGATGCCCGTTGGATCTCCATGCTGCCCGTCGATGCCCCCCCCCCCCCCATCCCTGATCGATCACCTTGGATCACCTTGGATACCTTACCTTTACCTTACCTTAATCTCCATCCAAGACTCTCCCTCCTCCACGTCTTCTGCAGTGCCCGGGATTAACTTTCGCCGGGCTCTTCTTGTTTTCCAACTATTGCCATTATTCGGAGCTTTATGACCTACGCTCGATATCCCGATTCCCCTATTAGTCTATTAGGCGTCTGGCTACTATTACCACCACTATTACCACCGCTATTACCACTAATCGCAGTGTTATTTCCCGCATTACGTCGTGACAGGTCGATCAGGTCCAGCCCTTCCAGACCCTAGCTGGCCACCCTAGCCCGCATCCGGCGCTAGCCCCACCCGCGATCGCCCACCTGTTTTCTTGAATCTTCACCAAGGGCCAAGGGCACAACGTACAGCCTACAAGGGCCCCAAAACGCCTGTGAGAAAGACCGGCGGGGACCCACTCACCATTTCACCCCTCCCTCTCTCTACTCTCTGTCTCTTTCTTCCACTTGTAAGAACCTTACTATACCCCCCCCCCCCCTCCTCGTCTCGTCAAGTCTTCTTCTTTCTTTCTTACCATCTTATCTGCAAACACCTTCTACATCAAATACCCTTCTCGTCAACCCGTCTTGTGTGTGTGTCCAGACCAATAATATCTTAACTTTGTTCTTTTCCCTTCATACACATAACTCAACTCGACTGCTCTATTGCACATTCGCTACCTCGACCATTGATCCATCTCTTCTCTGCACCGCACAACGCATCTGTCTTTGAGCTCGCACAACTCTCCACAGAGCTCTCCTCGGCGACCATCCCACCAGCATCTTGATACCAGTCGATCAGCAATTCGACCCATTGTATTGAAGAAAAGAAGAAGGACAAAAAGGAGAAGGACAGAAAAAAAGAAAAGGGAAGAAAAGTTACCACAAGTGCGACGCTGGTGGGGGAAGAAGAACCCAGCCCTGGGAGAAGATAGAAGATAGAAAGATAGACCCATCCCGACTACCATGACCCCACGGCTCAACATGAATGCCAAAAACTCTTCCGGCAACCAAGTCTCCCTCCTCAACGACGATCCCGCCCCGCCAGCCAGAACCGTCTACCCAGATCCCTTCTACTCACCCTACCCGCCCCAACCGGCACGCACATATTCAAATGCCTCCGCCCATAGCACAGCTTCCTCTCCCAAGACCCCCGATCTCTGGCGCTCCAACTCCTACGACTCGCAGAACACCAGTGGCCCTCGATCGCCTCTCACTCCGGGCCCAGCGCCTCCCATGGAATTTGGGAAGCCTTTCGCCTTCCCCCAACCTCCCTACTACCACGAGCCCGTCCACATGTGCGAGCAGCGGGCTCCATACTTTGACTACGCGATACAGCAGCAACAGCATCTAGCACAGATGCGACAGCTGCGAGGCTACGACGACCATGCGCCTTCCCCCTACTCCGAGTCCTATGATTCCGACTCGTATGCGAACCCCCCCACCACCGAGAGGGGCCCCAAGAGATATCCGTGCCGCTTCCGCGAGACGCACGGGTGTGACAAGACCTTTACCACTTCGGGCCACGCATCGCGCCACTCCAAGATCCACACGGCGGAGAAGGCGGTGGCTTGTTCATACGCGGGCTGCCAGAAGAAGTTCACCCGTGCCGACAACATGAAGCAGCATCTCGAGACCCACTTCAAGGGCAAGTCGCGATCAGGCTCGTGGCAGAAATCAACGGCCGCCGCCAAATCGGCCCTGATCAAGTCGGCGGGCATTCGGAAGGCAGGCTCAACTGGCCGTCCGAGTCGCCCTCCCAGCGCCGGTGAGAACCGACCCGAGCTTGCTCCTTACCAGCCAGGGCCACCGGCGCAACTCCTGACTGACAGGTACGCCGGTGCCTCATCTGCAAGCTCGTCGATGGCGACCAGCCCCGTCATGCCTTCCAGCCCACACGCCATGAGCGTGTCGCCCCCTCCACGAGAGTCCGGTCCAGCATCCGCGTCCTCGGGGAGATCGAGCTTAGACGTGCTGGCGGTAGCTGCTGCTTCTCAGGCCGAGGAGTAAGCTCCACATCGGAGCACCCTATGGTCATTGTTGTGGATCATGCCACTGTTGCGGTAGAGCGATCTGGTCAGCCCAGCCACGCTACGAAAGATATGAGGGGTTCTTTTTCTTCTCCGGGTTGTTGGCACAAGGATTATAATATCTGGGTCGCACTATCGTGCTCTCGATGGGTTTCCATTCTATGATACCATGCACGAATAGGTTTTCGGGTCCTCGCGAGCGAGGTTTTGTTTTTTCCTTTTTTCTTGTTTTTCCTCTTCTGTCTTTTTTTTTTCTTTTTTCTTTTTTCTTTTTTCTTTTTCTTGTATATATATATTTTTGAGCTCAGGACGGGGGGGCAGGCGTTCATCGGTCTAGACGGGGGGATAATGCAGGCGCCCAGGGAATCCTAAATGTAACATTTGTAATTCGTGCACGGAAATGAAGGAAAAGGGGGGGGGGAGGGGGAGAAAGAAAGAACGACGAAAGCTCAACTATTACTCCTAATGTCTTTATATATGGTTTACCCTCTAACAGGCCGCCGAGCTTGGTTTGGGTTGGGTTGGAAGGTATTGGGTCGGAAGGGAAGGAAGGGAAGGAACGCACGACGACGACGACGACGACGGCACAAAGGAAACACACACACAAGGCGTTGTTGGTTGCTGGGTGGGTGGGGCACTGGGGAGTGCTGGATCTAAGAGGGGGGGGATATTGCATGGCATAGCACACACAGCAAGATACCAAAAGGTGTGGCGGTTCTCGGATGGATATCTTAGGTAGCAAAAGAGCAAGCAAGCAAAGAAAATTTAACTTCCACATTGTTAATCACATCATATCAAATTTTTGTTATTGTTATAATAAAAAGGCTCTCATAATCATAACATAATTGCGCTGGTAAGCGTAGCGTGAAGCTTCCTCGCTGCTGTATAGAAGGAGGGCGTTGATCGCGACTATAGGTAAAGTGGAATGTCAGGAGACAGGCACGTGACTATATGAGGTAGATCTGGAAATGGCCAAGTTAAAAGTAAAAAGTAAAAGTTACATGTTTCTGGGTATGCTTGCTTGCTAAGATTTGTATGTATGTATGTATGTTATAGCGAGAAAGAACCAACCCCCTTGGTATTGCCGAGTAGAAACGCCCCCCCTTTTAGCCTTTACCTCCCTATGCGCCAAACCTCCTCCCGAAGGTGCTTAATTACATGTAAGAAACCGTCCTCTCTTCCAAAACACACACAGATACACTCCCTCGCTCGCTCGCTCGCTTTCTCGCTCACTTCTTCCCCATCGGCAAAGGCGGGGGTCCCATCTTGCCCGCCCCGGTATCAGGTTTCTTCAGCGGCGGCGGCGCCATCGAACCAGCGTTCGCACTCGATGAGTTGCCGACCTGCGTGAAGGTGCCGCCTTTGAACCAGCGGTCTTCTTCCGCTTTGCGCTTGCGGCTCAGCTCCGCCTGCATCTTGGGATCCACGAGCTCGAGGCCTTGGACGGGCGTGAATGCCAGCGAGGACGCGGTGCCGGCGCCCGCGCCCAGCGTCGAGTTGACCCCCGTGGCGCGCAGGCCCTTGCCGCGCAGGTCGATGCCGGCGCCCGCGCCTTGGCCGAAGCCGCGGAGGGAGGACGAGGAGCCGCTGATGGGCGTTGCGCCGCCCCAGCCTTTGTTCTTTGCGCTGAGCCGCGCCTTGGTGCGTTGGTCGATCTGGAGGTTGCGGATGCGGCCCTCGTTGGCTTGCCCGATCATGCCCATCCCCTTGGTGCCGTCGCCTGTGCCGTACCCGACTTCCTTCTCCTCCTTGCCGAATGCCATTCGGTTCTGCGCCTTTCGGAGTTCTGTCATGGCCGTGGCTTCCTTCGCCTTTCTTGCGCGCCGTCCACCGCGCTTTCGGGCTGGCTTGTCATCTGGAACTGGTAGGGCGCGGGGTCCTTTGTTGGGGGGAGGCTCGGTTAGCTTCTCGAGTCGTTCTAGACACGATGCTTTGAGCTCTTCTCCTGTTGATCCATCGGGGCTGTTGTGGACGCGGTCGACCCGAGCTGCTAGGACGACTTTTGCTGAGACAATTCGCATGGCCTGCCGTTTGAGATCATTGGGAATACCCTTGATGATAGGAGAGTGGTACAGGAAACCTTGCTGTCTAACCCCAACGTTGGTTGCGAAGCCCGTACCTGATTGCTTCTTCGATCCTAGAGGCGGTAGGTTGCAAGCTGGAGTCTTGGCGAGACCGGTCAAACCTCCTGCGTAATTAAGTAGTTGCGCCGCTGTGAGGGAACCGATCAAGGCTGTTAAGTTAGGCGCAAATAGGTTCATTCGCGACTGAACATAGTTCGTTAATGTCTTCTTTGCTCGGTCCAACGCCAGAGTCATCTCGCAGGCGCGCATGACTCTTTCCAGTTCTGTAGGCGTCATCTCGCGGCCTTTCGTTGTAGTTGCTTCAACTGTGACTATCATCACGGTTGGACCATCCAGTACCGACCGTAAGGTAGCCCCCAATCGATTGTCTTTCGAATTCTCAAGTTTCTTTATACTGTCCGCATCCATAGGCCCATTCCCAATGATAGTTACCACTTTGGCGTAATCCAAAGGGTTTCCTACTAGAGTCTCCAGTTCGGGAAATCGTACAGAGTAGTGATCTCGTATGAATTTGTGGACAAGCATAATTTCCGAGTCGATAGAAGTTGAAAGGGTATTCGACTGGGTCAGCAGGTGGTATTCGGGGTTATCTTCGATTGAGCCAACAAATGTTGTCTGCTTCTCCGGTGGTAATGATTGATAATATGCGATTTTCTGTAGGTCGCAATGCTGTCAGGGCTAATGCACAAAAAGGTAGATGTAAACCTTAGGCTCTTTAAGCATGTAGATGGGGGGAAGAAAGCAGTACTAACCTCAAGGACAGGTTCCAATGTCTTCATCAGACCGGCGACACTCCTCACGTCATCCACGCCTCCCAGTTGCATCTTCTCAATCTTAGCTTTTGTCTCCTGTTCATCCTCGACGTCTTTGGAAACGCCGTTCATGCCCGCCATCTCCTCATCTCCATCAACTTCTTCCTCATCTCCATCCAACTCCATGCCACCATTTGTCGCATGGCCATTCAGACCACTTGCGAGCTTTGCCTCTTCTCTGTCTGGAAAGAGCCCTTCATTTTGCTGCTCTTCCCCCTCAGATCCTGAATCCTCAAAGTCTTGTAATAGCTCATCCGCGAGAGTCGACATTTTGGATCGGTATGAGTTGTGGCGCTTGTTGACGAAATAAAAACAAGCTTGAAGGTATTTTGATATCGATGGGGCAGGAAGGCGGCCGCTAGCGCGTTCCTACTTAGCGCGGTACCTTTGTACCGAAAAATACATCTACGAAGGTATCTATCTCTGTTTCCGACACGAACAACTCCATTCCCTCTCCGGGGTATCGTCGCATATAAACGAATTTCTCAAGGCGCAAAACTCGTACTGAAGCCCTTAATCCCTCGGAATACGCGAAATCTCCCCATCTTCCCAAGACCGCCATCATGGAGTCTTCTCGTGGCCCCCCAAGGGTCAAGAACAAGGCGCCCAGCGCCATCCAAATATCTGCGGAGCAACTCCTTCGAGAAGCTGTCGATCGCCAGGAGCCCGGCCTTCAAGCGCCAACTCAGCGGTTCTCTGACCTCGAGGAGCTTCATGAGTTCCAAGGCAGGAAGCGCAAGGAGTTCGAGGATTATGTGAGGAGGAATCGGATTAATATGAACAATTGGATGCGATATGCGCAATGGGAACTGGAACAGAAAGAATTCAAGAGGGCTCGATCAATCTTTGAAAGAGCTCTGGATGTTGATTCGACATCCGTCACACTATGGATCCGTTATATCGAAGCGGAGATGAAGTCGAGGAATATCAACCATGCTCGAAATCTGTTGGATCGTGCTGTCACGATCTTGCCCCGTGTGGATAAGCTTTGGTATAAGTACGTCTATATGGAGGAGATGCTCCAAAATATCCCAGGTACCCGACAGGTCTTCGAGAGGTGGATGTCATGGGAGCCGGATGAGGGGGCTTGGAGTGCATATATCAAATTGGAGAAACGATACGGCGAGTTTCAGAGAGCGCGAGAGATCTTCCAAAGATTTACTATTGTTCACCCTGAGCCGAGAAATTGGATCAAGTGGGCAAGATTCGAAGAGGAGTATGGCACAAGCGACCTCGTGAGAGAAGTCTTTGGTACTGCTGTTGAGTCGCTGGGAGAGGAATTTATGGATGAGCGGTTATTCATTGCATACGCGAGATACGAGACAAAGCTGAAGGAGTACGAGCGTGCTAGAGCCATCTATAAGTATGCTCTAGATCGCATGCCCCGATCGAAATCCTTAACCCTTCATAAGGCTTACACGACCTTTGAGAAGCAGTTTGGAGATCGAGAAGGGGTGGAAGATGTCATTCTATCAAAGCGAAGAGTTCTCTACGAGGAGCAGATCAAGGAGAACCCGAAGAATTACGATGTCTGGTTCGACTATGCTAGGCTAGAGGAGATTTCAGGGGACGTGGATCGGGTTCGGGACGTGTATGAAAGAGCAATTGCTCAAATACCACCGACCCAGGAGAAGCGGCATTGGAGACGTTATATCTACCTCTGGATCTTCTATGCTATTTATGAAGAGATGGAGTCTAAGGATGTGGAGCGTGCAAGGCAAATCTACCAGGAGTGCTTGAAGCTGATACCCCACAAGAGATTTACCTTCGCTAAGATCTGGCTCATGAAGGCACAGTTTGAGATTCGGCAACATCAACTTGCAGCAGCCAGAAAGACGCTGGGTCAAGCCATTGGCATGTGCCCCAAGGATAAGTTATTCAAAGGGTATATTGAGCTCGAACTGAAACTGTTCGAATTCGTTCGATGTCGAACTCTATATGAGAAGCACATAGAGTGGAATCCCGCAAACTGCCAAGCGTGGATCAAATTCGCGGAGCTGGAGCGAGGCCTTGATGATTTGGAACGCACGCGAGCGATCTTCGAACTAGCAATCCAGCAGCCAGTTCTCGATATGCCAGAGCTTTTGTGGAAAGCATACATCGATTTCGAAGAGGAGGAAGGCGAGTACGAGCGGACCCGAAAGCTCTACGAGAGATTGTTGGAAAAGACAGATCATGTGAAGGTCTGGATCAGCTATGCTCATTTCGAGATCAACGTTCCAGAAGAAGACGAAGAGGAGGCCGAGGAGGAAGAAGAAGAGAAGCCGGTTAGCGAGATGGCCAAGGCACGCGCGCGGAAGATCTTCGAGCGAGCACTGAAGAGCATGAAGGATAAGGAGCTCAAGGAAGAGAGGGTCACCCTACTCAACGCCTGGCTCTCCTTCGAGAGGACGCATGGGTCAGAAGAAGATATCGAGAAAGTGCAGAAGCAAATGCCGCGGAAGACGAAGAGACGCCGCAAGCTGGACGACGACAGCTACGAGGAGTATATCGATTATGTATTCCCGGCGGACGATGTGCAGACCCAGAAGCTTTCCAACTTCTTGGCGCTGGCCCAATCATGGAAGCAGTCCGGTGGTACAATTACTGGAGATACGGTTACTGGGGATGCTGCGAATGATAATAAGTAGACGGGAACCTTGTGCTGGCTGGCTGGCGGATAGGGGCAGGGCCGTTTCATGTCTAAATTGATAGTGGCGATTCGGAGCTATGTAATTTTAAGTCGAAGGCACTTCCAGCCACATAATGATAACATACACACCTACTGGCAATAACAGGCCCACAAACACGTGAAGTTTCAACGCTTGGAATGCTATCTGACTATGGTGGTATCTCTTAAATCTTATAATATACTCTGCCTGACGCCTGCAAATGACATAAAACCACGCTTGCTCGCTCGCTCATTCGCTCATAAACAATGATTAATCAATCGTGAGGCAGTCTGGTTCCCTGATCTTACCCAATGTGCACCAACATCTGATTCCACTTCAACTCCTCAGATGCAACGAGACTAGCTCGACTCTTATCTTGTCCTTCAACCGATGTAGACGGGCATCCGGCTTCCCTTCAGATCCGCGGGGACTATCTTCACATCCGCTTTATCAAAATCATGCAGCATGAGCCAGCACAGCATGCGGAATATCAGTGATATCCAGATCGTATTCCTCCTGCCCCTATCCTCACCATCCCCAATCACTACCGGTCGGATCTTCTCAAAGTAATACGTCAGGAGAGCATCCTCTTTGTGCGCCAGCACAATGGTATTGAGAGGCGAGTTGGGATCGGCTAGCACATCGATGACCTTGGTAATATGCGCAACGAGGACGCTGAGAAGTTCGGCTTGCGTAAGGTCGAGGAGGTATTTCGTCCTCTCGTCTATAGCGTCGTGAATAGCCTCTCGGCAATGGATACTGAGTTCGGCTTCGTCTTGGAAACGCGGAGGGGGTTCCTTCTCCGAGTGGTTTCTAAAACCCAGACTGGATATATTCTCCAAGTGGATGTTGATAGCAGTAATTTCATGCGTAGGTCCCGACCCTTCCGCATCCATGAACTCTGCCACAGTCATGAACTCTCTTAGTTTGGCTTCGAAAACTTCCATCAAACGTGAGATTTTCCATGAGGCTTTTCGGCCAACTTTCTTGAGCCATTGATCTTCAGTTGGATTGGGAATCATTCTGAAGCTGCTTCCACGGATTCGAAAGACATTTCCGAGCATGCCAATAATTTCGAAAGATACTAACACAATCAGACCTGGTTTGGAAAAGGAGCTTTCCAAATCGCTTACCTGAGAATATGTGCTTGTGATCAGTTTTATATTTTTCCAATGTATGCGAAGGACATCCCAGAGACTCTAGGGTTGCATCAACGTCCTTTTCTGACCCAAAGATTAGTTCAAGGCTTTGTGCATTTTCCTCTCTTTTGAGATAAACTTGGTCGTCAAAGATGTTTGGTACAGTACCAAAAGCTAACTCTTTCACATCTTCTGAAGGAATGACCCGGTTCTCCTTGAAAACCGACTTTCCAGTGACTGCAAAAACAACCATAACGCCCAACCCATGAACTGTCGTTGAGGTCAGAATAAATCCGTTGCCCTCGGCCCTGAGGTTCCATAATATCTGGTCAAAAACCTTCCAGTACATTCCTAGCATAGCTATCATCTCTACTAGATGGCATATGGCGGATGTTGCATAAGGTCTCGTGATAGACGCTGGCATAAAGTCCCAAGATCTAGTCTTACTTTGTAGGCCAACAGCGAGTCTATATTCAGGGGCAGGTGGTGCTTTCAGCATTTTGCCATCTGAGGGAGGTGGTGACCTAACCCGGCTAGCTTTATCCCACTCCCGAGACTCTCGTTCTTCTCGTTGAAGAATGGAAAGAAGAGTAACCCAAGAAGCTCGCTCATCATCGGCTGTGTGCACTCGTGCTGTCGCTTGTTGGTCTGCTTGTATCTGGGCTGTAGGTCCTAAGACCCGTGTATTTCGGTACGACTTATCTGTGCCATCGATGTAGTGGATAGCTCGTCCTGCTATCGGGCCGCGCTCATTGTCTGGGGATGCGAGAAATATGACAGGAGTCTCAAAGACTACCTCAACGCGGAATTCGTATACCCGGAGCTTTCTATGTGTTCCGGCGGACCAAAGTCCCATTACAGATGAATGACCTAGAAGTGTCTCGGGGTCAGTATGTGTATTTTGTGGTGGTTGAAAGAAAGGTGACTATGGAGTTTCTGGGGAGCGTTGAGAGAGAAGTTCCATACATCGTCTGTACCCCTCGGCACTTGAGAAATACTGCTGCAGAACCTGTAGAACTGTAGTTACAAGCGCCACGAGAGAGACTACAAGGGCAACAAGTCCAAAAACATTTTGGTTAACTGAATCAAGGCCGCTCATTGCGAGGCTGAGAGAATGGCGGTGCTTCCCTTGTTATTGCAGAGAAGAGCGCTCATCTGAAGAGACTTCTGAGAGGAGCACGAAGTTATTTCGGAAATCATACTCGGATTGGAATTGGGATCCAGAATAAGGATGAAGGAGAGGTTTATGAGAAGAGTTTCAGAAAACGCAGTCTGATCAATGTTGGGGGCTGCGACTCCGCCTCACTAGCCACTGGGTCAGTTCATGAGGCTTGAGCAGGCAATCTCGCTGAGCCAGTAGCAGTGGCGTAAAGACCGACAACTGCATTTTCTCACCGAGAGCTGACCCCATATCAAAAGAGAATTCCGGTCCTGTAACCGTCGGACGCAAGAAATGGATGCATAAAAGGGCGGTAGAGTGACAAGCCCTCCACTGTTCTTGCGATTGCCAAGGGATACTTTTTCTTGGGGTGGAACTCCTTCGTTTACAGTATTTAGCTGCCTCGGCACCAGGCAAATCGCCCAAAAGAAAAAGAAAAGCTTGTAGCTGTGTGTAGCACAGAACTCTTATATGAGTATATAAGAAAGACGACTGATGAGCAAAATAATCATTTTCCGGTACCGGGAATCGAACCCGGGGCTCTCCGGTTCTCAGACTGCACAAGATGTGGTCATGAAAGCGGAGTATGTTAACCCCTACACTATACCGGATTACACGTTTTCGAACCTCTTAATGCTTCCTATTATAATGTTCAGTAATCCTGACGAACCAACATTGCTATTCGCTTAAACACGGCTCGACCCTCGGAGTTTCATTGATACAACCAGAAATACATCATCATCATCATATCCTAGGTGATTACGATGGTAGCTTTCTAATACATCTTGCACGGACCCATCACATTTTAACCACGTCCTACTTATATCGGTGTACGGTACAACAACCTATTTGCTCAAAACCCTAAGCAACTCTGAGCTCACGAAGATAATGAAACCAAAGCAACAATAAGGTAGATGCAAAATCAAAATAAATTCATAACATTAAGCTTATTAAGCTTTAGCTTAATGATACATATATACATACCTACACCCATCTGTTGATCGCTCCTGGAGTCCGCCAGCTGTTAGAGAACTACCTACCTTATGTCAGGGCTAGATTTGGTTTATATGCATAATCACGCCTGATCTTCCTGCTTCTGCTCGTCTTCCAGCCCATCATCGTTTTCCTCTTTGGTCTCGGTAGTGTTACCAAGCCGTCTCATTTCTGTATCAGAATACTCGAATTTACCCGCCAGTATTTGTCTAGACGCAATTTGTTGGAAGATAGAAGTCTACCTTCATCTGGGAAATACCAAAACCTATTGCGCTCACCTTATCGTTCGGCCCCATCGCGTCCAGGTTTGGGGACTTCGCTCCTGGACATGGATAGAAGTACTTGACTTTGATCTAGGCATTCTGCTTGATATGCCATGATCAGTTGAGGCATGATTAATCGTGTTGTCGGGCAACAGCGAAACCGACTTCCTCTTTTGTAGCAACTAGCACTATTTTTATCAATGCGCATTCAGGTATATCTGAGGTGAGTGCCGATATGTATGCTGTCGTGTACTCTCTCTCCATCATTCTCCCAGATTACATTCCTATAACCGAGTATACGAACTGTCAGCTTCTCTAAGGCTTTCCAATAGACGTAATTGCTTGAATACTTCTCCTTCCGCATGCCGATAATGAGTTTGATACTGACCTTGTTCGTCGGGTATATACCTCAAAGGCGGCTTATAAGGCTTTCTGACGGTCCGGGGACCGTCCTTAGACTTATGATTATCCTAGGACAGTCACATTATAAATTGATCGTCATAGGACAGTCATCTTATTCTTAAGGAGACTCTTTAGTCGCAATGCCATCTCCCCTCCCGAGAGCCGATTGCTACCATGTACTCTATCACACTGCGACTGGTCGCGATGGGATGGAATTCCTTGGCATTGATACGTCTGAAGATCTAACTAGGTGTGTGTGGGGTTTAAGGTGACGGGAGGCATCGCTTACGCGATGTGGGTCACCTGACATGCCCCTTCCCCTTAGCGTTCTCTCCGAGAACGCGGACAGAATTTCCCTGATACCCTTTCCCTAACCCATGAAACCATACTCCTAGCAATCCGATTCTATAAAAGCAACAAGCAAACCCATCCTGTGCAATTGCCTTCCCATAAACCCCATCCGTACCATGTATCCTCCGTCCTCCCTCCCTTTGGTCTGCCATTCCCGATATCATAAAGAGGGGACCGGGTCCGGAAACCAAGCCAAAGAATCGAAAAAATGCAAGCTGAAAAAATGCAAGCTGAAAAAATGCAAGCTCGCGTATAGAAACCCTTCGTAACGCAGCGCGATCCATGAGTGTTCCGATATCATAAAGAGGGGACCGGGTCCGGAAACCAAGCCAAAGAATCGAAAAAAGCAAGCTGAAAGATGCAAGCTCACATATAGACCGTCCTTTATCGACGCTGTCGATTCTCCGTGTCACCACCAACTTATGCAACAATGCCATCTCCCCTTCCTAAGAGCCCTCTCTAGATGCTGCCGTCTGCTGCTCCGACATAACTCTGTGTAAAGCTTCCTCAAGCTTCATCTGGACGTCCGGTTCTAGATCAGGGGCGGTTTCATCCGTCGACCTCTGTTCTCTCCGTCTTTCAGCCCCTCCCCACCTATCCCCCATATCCCAGACCCTATCCGGGTCTCCCGCACCATCATCACTATCCTCGGATAATTCTGAAGAATACCCCTCGTTGTCTGCTACACTGCGTTGGCCGGATTTCCTCTTGCTTGGGCTTGCTACTAGCGATCCACCACCGCCGTACTGAGATTGAAGCACCTTCCCAGTACAATTCTCTGCCTTATACTCAATTTTGCCGTTCTCGTCTTTGTGGAGTCGAATAACAAGACGTGGATCACCCTGGATGACGAAGAACTTGACGCCGGAAAGGATAGCCCAAGCGAAATGGGCAAAAAGATAAGCGCGAGAATGGTCAGGCTGGGTCTCGACAATGACGTTATGGTATACTGGCCATAATTCCTTAGCCTCTCGCGAGATAATGTGCGTAACGTACTGGGAGGAGGGCGCGGTCCTAGTCTCGGTCTCGGTCCTATAAATTTTGGGGACAATAACGAACCATCGACGATCAAAACAGTGGTGGATATCCTTTCTCAGAGGGAGGATATTCGCTTGATTGTCAATATTAGGAAAACCCGTCCCATATCTCTGCATATTGTTGACCCCATACCAGACGCTTTCGCTCTGTGGTACAAGGTGGGCCTCGTCAATGGCAAAAGTAACACTTGTAATACCACAGGTAACGGGGTCAAAGGCGCCAGAGGGAGGAGCGGGTGAAGGCCAGAAATCAGGGATGTAATCGTGTGGGAACTCCCAGTCTTGAAAACTAGGCACAATAGGATATGAATCTAGAAGATCAGCAAAGATGTTTTTAGAAAAAAAGATAAAAATAAAAAGAAAGAGGGGGACGTACTGGAACCATCAACGATAAAATAGTAATGACTATCCGTCAAGACGCCGTCCATCGGCACCTCGACCCGCTGTCGCCCTGCCCTGTCAAGGGCGAGATAGGTATTAGTGAAGGCGTTACCGGCGACTATCTGACAAGCCACGAGAGCCGTCCTATGATGCACACCATATGTAGGGGCAGGACCGGCGCCGGATACGCCGTCAACGCGTGGGAGTGTGAAGAGGATGTTGGAGGAGTCGTACCCGGGATGGTGAAAGCATATGTCTTCCCGGAGAGCCAGCTCCAGCGACGGCCGGGGTGGGCGCGGCTGTAGCAGGGGAGCTGCGGCCATCTTAACGGCGGGAGCGCGAATCGGGTGTGTCGATGAAGGAAGCCGGTCGCGATAGCACAATGGCACAATGGGGAGTGTCGATGATGGGAGGACGATGATAGGAGGACGATGATAGGAGGACGATGATAGGAGGACGATGATAGGAGGACGATGATAGGAGGACGATGATAGGAGGACGATGATAGGAGGACGATGATAGGAGGACGATGATAGGAGGACGATGATAGGAGGACGATGATAGGAGGACGATGATAGGAGGAAGATGATAAGAGGAAGATGATAAGAGGAAGATAAGAGAAGAGGAAGATAAGAAGGTGAGAGGGAGGTGCGCTTAATTTCTTGTTGCCTTACCTTAGGTGTTCCAAATTAAGCGAGTGAGAACCTCCCCTCTTAAAAACAGTAGTTAATTCACTAATATCTTAATATTAGTAGTTACTCTAGGAACTTCTTACTTTGTATTTTCTCTAGTACTTATCCTCATAAGAGAGGAAGGGTTATAAGGTACCTAAATTCAGGTCTCGCCTGTGGTATGTAGGTAGAGACAACACTGGCGTGAAAAAGAGGAGAACGCAGACTGGAGCCAGTAATATTTGGCGGTGGTTAATTTCCAAGTCAATTTATGATCAATATTCACGAGCTGTAAGTTGTCACTATTCATCTGCTGTCTTGCAACCCTCAAGCATTCTAATGGAGAACTGACCAGGACGATTTGGGGTAAAGGACCTGAACTACGGAGTATTCGAGTCGGGTCCTGAAAGATTATGATAATAATACTCCGTAGTCTCCGCAAATCTCCGCTATTGTCTCCGTAGTATATATAGTCCAGACTCCACAGCGTCTCCGCAAGAGATGTCATGATGGCCATGCAGCCTCCTGAGGCGCAGCTAGCAGCCAGAGACCCCTGACGGCTGTTAAGCCACAGCACATCCCTTTCAGCTGGTTGCCGACCGTCATTCGTGGCAATGGGTGCGTGACTGACCAGGCAGACTGGAAATCATATCGGGTACAATACTCCGTGCACCATGATGATGCCGTTACGAGGCGATTCTAAGATCTCGAGAGGGTCTAGAAGATGCCGTGAATAATCAGCACTCTTATCATTCGGAGGGAGTAAGGATTGGCTGTCCTGCTGAAGAGGAGGAGGAGAAGGAAGGGGAGAAGGAAGGGGAGAAGGAAGAGAGAAGGAAGAGGAGAAGGGATGAAAGGAGGAAGAGGAGGAGGTGGCGTCCTCAAGGAGGTGGTGAAATCCAGTGTGGACATCCAGTGCACTCGGTATGCATGATGATGAAGCGGTTTGAGGCAAAGCAGCCCTTCTCCTTAGACACGGTGAGACTCGCAGGCAGATTCGAGAGGGACAACAGCTGTGGATATCCCAGTTGCCAATAAGATCCTCGCACTCCCTTTCCACTGTCCAACTGTTGGTTCGAACTTCAAGGCAAAGAGGAAAACCAGGCAGGTCCTTCGCTAAGCGCACTCCCCAGCCACCATTGATTTGAATACCTTACCTTCCCACCTTTCCCCTCCCTCGTCCCCTCCATCGTTGTCCCTCGCTCGTCGTCGCCCGTCAACCCACCCCCAATTCAATATCACGAGTCTCTCTTGCATTCGCAAACTCATCAAAGGCCATTTCAAGTTTGACGATAACGATACATAATTCATTCTCGAACCCTTATCTACCTAGGCCTGAGCCTCAAAAGAACAGGACTATCTCAACTTTACGGAGTATTTACCTTAGCGCTTCGATCGCACACCCCCGCCAAGGTAACTTGGCAACGACGTTCGACAACTTATCGTCGTAAAGAGCGTCTAGACTTCCAACCAACATCATCATCATGTCTCGCGTCGGAGACCCCTACGATTACGACGAACCGCCGCGGCGCCACAGATCTCATCACCATCACCATGATCGAGATGATCGCGAGCCACGATATGTCGCGACTGAAGAAACATATGTGAGAGGATCAGGAGCAGCCGGAGTGCCTTTCGCACCCGAACCACCATATGCAACTCGGCAAACCGATCTCATCCGACCAATCCGCCAAGATAGCGATCTGTCAATCGAGGAGGTTAGGAGGGACTTCCCGCCGCCGGGCGCTGAAGGCTATGTTACCAGCCGGTACGGCCCGCAAACTCGCTCTCGGTCAACCGAACGTGGTTCCCAATACGGATCATACCTTGGCCCAGATCCACGACGCTCCTACAACGATTTCGATGACCGTCGAAGCCGCACAAGCTCAACTTACGAAGAAAAGAAGATCGAGCCCCGTCGCCATTCACTTTCTCGAAACCAGAAGATTCTAGCGGCAGTCGGAGGAGCAGCTCTGGCTGTGGGTGGCAAAGAGCTGTGGGACCGTAGACAAGCTTCCCATAATGACCGACCGGTCTCCCGAAATGCACTTTCGACAGCTGCGATTGGTGCGGCTGGCGCGTTTGCTGCTTACGAAGGAGCTGAACTCTACGCAAAGCGCGCTCACAAGGAGGAGAAAGTGAAGACATACACTGCCCATCGTGGCCGAAACGGCGAGGTAGCTGAGTACTACTCATCAGAGGACGAAAAGGAGCCGAAGAAGAGCCGTCGCAAGTCTATCGTCGAAGGTGCTTTAGGACTCGCGGGCTTAGGTGGGGCAGCTGCGGCAGCCAAAGGCCATGGAGATAGGAGTCGAAGAGGAAGCCCCGATAGCGGTCACTCTAGAAGAAGCAAATCTCGAGGACGAAGCCGAAGCGGAGGTAGGTCAGAAGGAGCTGCCAAATTTCAACAAGCGGCTAAAGCTGCTCTGTTGGCTGGGGCTACCGAAGCCTTTCGAGTCCGCAAAGAACCTGGAGGTTGGGGGGGAGCTAAGGGCAAACGCATTCTTACTGCGGCAATCGGAGCTGGCGGTATTGATGCTGCGGCGGATCGCAACCCTGATGTGCACAGCAAGCGCCACATCCTCGAGGCTGTGGTTGGAGGCTTGGCCGGTAACCGCTTGATAAATGGTTCGAGAAAAGAGGTTGAGAGGGAGGAAAGATCCAGATCACGATCCCGTGCACGATCCCGCTCGCGCTCCCGCGCTCCTGATGGAAGTGGGGGCCTTGGTAGTGGTGCTGGTCTTGCCGCGCTTGCAACTGCTGGCATTGGCGCGCTCGCGGGAAAGAAGTTTTTAGACGACAGACGTGAGAAATCCCGGGAGCGATCCCGGGAGCGATCGCGATCCCGTAGCCGACGCAGAGGCAGCCCGGACTCTTATGATAGCCGCAGTCCATCCCCGAGACGCGACAAACATAAGAGAAGTAAGAGCGTTTCGGACTATGCCAGGAAAGGGCTTGCTGCTCTGGGAATCGGAGAAGCTGCACACGAGGCTAGCCGTAGCCGTGGGGATGTAGTCGAGGAGGAAACTGTTGTTCGTCATAGGCGTCGACCATCCGATGATGATGATGATGATTACTATGATGACCGTCGCCATCGCAACTCCGGCTCCTCCCGCGGTGATGTATACGGTGATCCACGATACGCTGATTCTAGGGGAGGTCGAAGTTCACGAGCAAAGGATGGACGAAGAAACAGGGCTGTTGCTGAAGGAAAGCTAGACCCGGATTCGGATTCAGACAGTTTGGGATCCTCGTCGGGTGATGAGAAACGCATCAAGAAGATGAAAGGTAAGCAATTTCTTACCATGGGCCTGGCTACTGTTGCCACAATTCATGCTGCACACAATGTCTATCAGAGTATGGAGAAGCGTGAAGCTCGGAAGAGGGCAGTGCAGGAGGGTGAGATGAGCCTCGAGGAGGCACGAAAGCTCAAGGGGAAGGCTTTGTTGCAAGATGCTGCGTCTATCGGCATTGCTGCACTAGGTATCAAGGGAGCAATCTCGGAAATCAAGGAAGCGAATGAGATGCGACATCAGTGCAAAGAGTTCCTAGATAAGAAGGAAGAGCGTCACAGGAAGCGCCTTGAGCGTCTTGAGCGTCAGAGAAATGGCAATGGGGATAGTGGGATCAGTGCCAGACATAGAGCGGACGACTACTACCAAGCACCTCCCGGCCGTCGCATTGATTATGGCCCCCACTATGCCGATGGGAATCCATATGGCAACGCTCTACCCGCGCCACCTGTTGGCTATCATGATGGAAGATAAAATATCTCCCATTATATGCCGACAGTCATCCGGCTGGCTCATCTGCACTGATTGCCACCTCAAAATACCTGCGCTGCATCAACTTGCCCTCTTCAAGCGTCATGATTCTACGACTTATGATAACGAATTCATGAAGTCGAATGTGTATTGGATACGCCTGGAGCGAGCCGCAACATTCTGCCCGAAGATTTTAATGTTTCCGTTCTTCATTTTTCATTTTCCACTCCCCATTTTCCTTTTGTGCTCCCGAGTTGCAGCGTTTGAGAAGATAGATCAGCAAACAGCAAATCCCTACAAAAGAATCGTAACTGATGATTTCCCATTGTACAGCTCGTCGCCACCACTAAGCAATGCAAGTGACCTGCCTCAACACAAGGCTCAAGCTTGCACTTGTACCGCCTACCCTGTCCGCCACGAGCGAATCTAGATATGCACGGGCACCTGAAGGGGGAAAGGGGGGGGGTCCTAGGAATGGGTACATTGGTTTGGTTTGATGGGGTTACGGAATCGAGGGAATCAGGATATGGGGTGATAGCAGGAACAGGGTCACGAATCTCCTTTCTCATTTGTCTGTTGTTTGTCTTTACTAGGATAGGAAATCAGGGCTCTCTTCATGATTGAATGAATTGACGACTGGCGGTGTGGAGGTGGGCTGGTTGGATAGACTCGTAGCGCATGATACCGTTGCTAGCATTCTCTGGGATATTGATTGAGTTTCTGTAGGTTAGGACTGGAGATGGTTCCACGCGCGTTACAAATGACGATACTTTGATGCCCAAACCTAGGTACATTTCTTGATTCTGCGTGTCTCCTGGGAACCTCTCGAGACATGCAGGTCGGCATCCGAGAGGAACCAATGCGTGAAGCCGTCCTATCCGCCTTGATAACGACCGGTTTTAGTTTTCTTATCAATCTTCACCCTGGAGCTCCTGCGGTAGGACAGGAGAATCTCGGAAACAAATCAGGATTTGTTGGTGCAGGGGGGGAGTGTACGACGCACTGTGCCAGACGCCCGCTGCCCAGCGCCAAACAATCGAGCCACAATTCCATTCTTGCTGCTCTCGATTAGTAAGGTGGCCGGGAGTCTCGGCCATGCAAAGCTTGTATGAACCTACGGTATGGATTCTGGAGGAGTCACCTCCTCCCTAGAAGAGGGACTTTGCACTTGCAGCAACTGGAAGGGGAATGCCTGGTGGAAATCCGATTGTCACCCTATTTGCTCTGAACCACATAATATCACAACAGGGAGGGGAAACTGGGAACTGGTTCTGGAACATCAGGATTGCTATGCGTAGATACTAACAGTTCTTTGCAGGTTCGCAACCCTTGTCTTATTGTCGAACGGTGTGATCACCTACCGGTTAAACAGCTGTCAAACCTGTCGTGCACTCCTCCTGATTCATTGCCACACCCCCCTGCCTCAAAGCTTCTTCAATTCTAATTGATCTTGACCGAAATACAGTTTACACTTTCCGGAGTCGATGCTGATGATGCCGAGCTCCTGGTACAGAAATGTGATTTTCCCGCTATGCGAGATAACCCACTACATCTCTCAAGATTTCCTCAGTCAAGCGAAGATCCGGAGAAGGAAGAAACAGCTTGGATAATCGAGAGCTTACAAGAGACACTGAAAAAACGGCCAGCAGGTTTCGCAAGGTCTGCTTAGAAGATGGCACACCTGCATATTTGCTGGATGGAGCTTGGAGTAGGCTACATCAGAGAAAGGGACCACCAACAGTGGAGATCTCGTCGAAGAGCAGGAGAAGACGCCGGACAAACGCGGAAGGCGCGATAACCCACACGTCTGGTATTCCCTGAGGATACATTTAATCCTGCTCGCTAGAAGTTGACAGGCTCATTCTAAAGGAAGTCCTATAGCCAGCACTGGTTAATAAAGAGCCAGATCCTGATTATACATATAATACTTACCAATTGTATGCGTACTCATAATAAAATATGAACCGGCCTTTATCATACCAGGAAGATTTCCTTGTGGGAGGCTCAATTTATCCTCGATAGCAGCACAAACCTGGCGATCCTGAATGAGTGCGTAAGTCATGAAGCTAATCGGCAGAAAGCTCGCCTGCTCGAAATCGAGCACATAGAGGTCGCCATTATCCGAGAAAAGAAAGTTCCCCTCGTAGAGATCCGAGAAACAGAAGCATAGCTTCTCTTCTGAAAAGTCAACCGTTGGTTGGTCTCTGCGTATCATAGTAGCAACCTAGTAGACTCTTAGTTAGTGCTGTGAAAGTGGGTTTTATACTAAATAGCCCGCACCTTGTTTATGTGATGTTGCAATTGGGCAACTGACGAGTATTCAATGGCGGCTTCATAATCTTTGAAGAGTGGGTGCCTAATAATTCCACCTTTGTATGGTCCCGGAGTGGCATCATCGGGAACTTTGAAGGTAAGAAATAGCTTGATCGCCTTGGCTATGCGATCATACAAGTGTTCCACACTTTTGCTGTCTGGGGTATCGCGTAGAATCTGCAGAAGCGTTTTCCCGGGGACATACCCCATGACGATGTACACCATGGAATTTCCAGAGGGGTGTTCGTCTGTAAAAATGCGGTAAATCTCAGGGATCCGAATGCCTTCTCTATCTGACTGCGGTATCTGCTCAAGAGCTCTGAAAGCAAAATCTTGGGTTCGCGCCTCGGCGTCTCTACCTTCCGACTGGAGTCCATATTTGATCCAGAAGATTGGGGCTTGAGGAGGATACATCAATCCTTTAAGGCGAAGTCCATTCTCATCGCAGGGGGGATTTCTGTCGCAAGCGTCGATGATTTCGCTGTCTGATGGCAGTTGCGGCTGAGGGCGTCGCTGGCGGCCGAAGTTGATCGACGTCGCCATTTCAAGGAGCCTGAAAGTCGAAATGAAAGCGAGGGGAACCTCCGGAATCTAGAATCTGGACTCTAAACTCGAGAGTTGAAGATGAAGATGAAGACGAGAAGGGTGAGGAAGAGCAAAGAGGGTGATGATTGCGCTGGGCGATATCAGTTGTATCACATTGAGGTGCACGGCCTTGAAAGCGCTTAAGAATATCGCGCTCTTTATGGAGGCGCCAATGTCCCTCAACGCTTTGAATTACGACAAGGATTTCTTGCTGGCTACTGTTGATTATTGCTAAGTATAGAAGCGAGTACAAGCGGTCACAAGAAGTACATACCTTACGCTACAAAATAAATGAACTCTGAGAGCTGCTTTGTGATTCTGTAGGTACCGGCTTTACCTGTAAGGTGCTAGCCTATGCGGAAAAGAGATCCAGGTGACATCTCTAAAGACTCCTTTCCTCGTTGGTAATTGTCGGTATAAAGCTCTCTTTTTATATGCTTAAAGAAGGCCGAAGATAATGAATTGGAAGTGAAAGGAGAGGCACATCTGTTATCTACTTAGGTATACAGGTTGGTCACGTGCCTAATCACTAACTCGACCTTATAGACCTTTTATCTAATACCAGTCATAAATCTAGCGTGCCCCCTAATCATTCAACATAAACCCCGTTCTTCTTGTGCCAGCCCTCAAGGCTTGTCTCTCCGTAGGTCTCATAGATGGTCTTCTTTCCCTCTGGCCAGCGAACCCAGTCAGGCTTGCTGTTGTTCATAACGCAGACCATCTCCTCCGCCACCGGCAAATCCGTATCAATAGCTGACGCAAAGGGATGGATCAGCTCCGGCCAGGTCTTGTCCCACAGCCAAAGCATGCTACCGCAATCGCCGCAGAAGTTGCGTTCAGAAGTGCACTTTTGTGCGTTGGGCTTGCCGCGGTCTCTAGTTGCTGTATATTTCCTAGATTATAGTTAGAGCAGGAGCTGCGAAAATGCGGGGGGTATGTACTTGAGTAATTCCTGGCCTTTGGTGACTTTGAGAGTATCTGCAATGCCGCCGAGATTGACACAACCGCCATAACCGCCGCATTTTCTGCAGATAGAACATGCACACACCTGGTAGGGCACTGGTGTATGGGATTGGAGAGTAAACTCAACGCCACCGCATTGGCAGCTTCCCTCGAGTGTCCTAAACACAAACACTATTTAGCTGGGATCCTTCTAGATTCGCCGTAGAAGCAACTCACATAGGCATTTTTGAAAGATCTCGTATATTACTGGTGGTCTCAGTTGGTCCCTGGAGTAGTATATTTGACACCTTGATGGTTGGATATGGCGTTATATTGACACCGGATCGTCTGGAAAGTCCAGTGAGGGGATGAGTGAGGGGGATCGGGGTGTCATAGGTGGGGTAGAGCCACTAGCGTACTAGCGTCGGCGGGAAGATCCGACAACTCCGACATCTCGGTACCTTGCCTTGAAGGTTTGAATTTACCGCGAGGCTCAAGGTCGACGACGAGAACACAATGAGTACATTTGGAAGCCCAGGAGGTCGGCAGATCAATTCAAAGCCTATACCGTAAGCTGAAGAAGAGAATCTCTATGAAGGTCATGGCTAATATGGAGTGTAGGCCGGAGCGCGGTAGCTTTCCCCTTGATCATGACGGTATGATTCCGTCCCAAGACTCCAGCCTTCCGAGGGCCACTGCCCGCTGGTGGCACTTGCGACTTACGCGTGCTGATATGGCTTGATATTGTAGGGGAATGCAAGGATGTCATGAAAAGCTATCTGGCGTGCATGAAGAAGGTCAAAGGGTTGAATGACCCGGAATGCAGGAATCTGGCAAAATCATATCTGGCTTGCCGGATGGATAGGTATGGTAGACCTCCTCCCCCTCTCAGCAGCAGGCTGACACAATGGCAGGAATCTTATGGCGAAAGACGAGTTCAAGAATCTGGGATTCCACGACGACAAACCGGCCGAGGAAGCCAAGAAGGATGATGGCGCAGATAAAGGAGTGAAGGGCGAAATAAGGTGGTAGAGTCCAGACTACCTATCGTTGTATATTCCTCTTGTGTAATAGCATATACGGTGTTGTCGGTGGGTTATGGGCAGAGCAGATCTCCCGAATGGGCATGGCGTATGCGATTTGAGGACTCAACTCGAAGTAAAAATATGTGTTACATATGGGCCATTAGTGTCCTTCTGCGGCTTTTAATGCCATTCCATGTATACCTAGGTACTCATCGCCTTTCTCTTGAGTTGGACGTGTCCATTCTGGGGAATGTCTCTTTTGCCTTGTGGTCCCACCAAGTAACTTCTCGATGGAATCTGTATAAAAAGAACCATTCTTTGAGCAAGTGGCCAGGTACAGTACGAGTTAAGCATATGCCACTGCATCGTGAGAAGCAACGACCTGAAGAAACATTAGGCCAGCGAAAATCTTCTAGCTTCACCGTATCTACGCCTTATAGTCACTTCAAAGGTCCTAGCGGATACACGGAATCACGCAGGTACTGCTAGGCAAAATAGGACACCTCCAATTTCAGGGCAATAGTATCCAGCTGGTCTTTGTTCTATCTAATCTTCATGGCAGTATCAGAGCCAGCAAGTCCATGATAGCGAATAACCCCTTGGTTCACATGGTGTGTCACAAATTCTAAGGTGAAAGGAAATACCCCACACTACCAAAAGCAAGAGGTAATGCATCGCATTGTTATTGTCAGTCCCATGGACTGACTTCAGAATAAGTTACTGATGTAACTCCAAAGAACTGTGTCCTATGCTAAACGTATCAAACGACTTAGGACTTCACTCTCTCTGGAAAACAACTGACTCTTGTCTTAGGGTAATTTCAACTTGAAACGTTGCCTTGAAAGCGGGACTGATATCGTGAAACAGCCCAAACGACTAACAGCATCACCAAAAGTATCAGATGAAAATCGACAGAACTAGAATTCTTTGAGCGACAGCAATCACACCATTAGATACTCTCAGATAATGCGAGTATTGCGTGGATGCAGTGCACCTCGAAATGCGGGAAATGATGAACGATCAGTGCTCGATTTGACTTAACGCCAGAAGAAAATGGCTGGGACTTTCAGTGCTCAATAAGTCACAGAATCTTGAAATTTCATCTTCCAAATAGGTCTCCCTACTCACAAGATCTATTCTGCTCAATCTCCAACTCAGAGCATACTTGTGAAAACCATCCCCTATTTATCAACAAGGCTACTAACTTCTCACCGCCCTGCGCACGGACCACAATGATGAATTCACGAAGCGAGAAGCTGTTGAGCTCTCTACCACCAGTCAATAAGAACCTACCTAAGTTTCGAGGGAGACTCCAAAACCCAAAGCAAGCTCTCGAGCAGTTGGAGATGGCTTCGGAATCGCTCACCATGAACTCGGGCCTCATCGCCATTGCTCTAGTCATTAGATCCGGTGTTGGCCCAAGGTTCGTTTATCACTATCCTCCACACCCGACTGAGCAAGCCTCGCAACGAGAGACGCGATTTGGCACAGAATTGGACATAAGCGACGAAGGAGACGATGATGATGAGCCTGGAGATAGCGACGATTCTGATCTAGAGGACGGTGGCTTTCAGCTCCATCAAACCTTTGGGAAGTTCAATCTGGGCGGGAAGATCAGCAAGAAAAGGCAACATCACGTGGATCTACTAGAGGCAGACGATCACTATGATTCCCCCAGCGGAGAGCATATCGTTCCATGGGAGCATCTAGGAGAGTTTTCGACTACAGATTTGGAGATGATCCTCACGCCATCAAGAGCTTTCCACAAGAAGAAGTTCGAGTTGTCTCTCGATCCACTTCACTTTGTATCCTACCCAATGCATATCCGCGAGGATGGTCTCTGGAAGAAAAGAAAGCTGAAGAGTAGCAAAAAGTCCAAGAAGGAGTCTTCCGAAGCTGGATCTAGCGAGGGAAAATCTGCAGAGAATGAGAAAAAGGAAGAGTGCACCAAGGATAAGCAGGCAGATTCCGATGATCACGACGATCATGGTGAGATGACCATGTTCAACGTCGTGTTCGTTCTTAATGTCCCCAAAGACGAAGCGGACGAACGTATTCTTGACATGTATGAGCATGTTATAAAAAAGTTCAACAAGGCACTCAAGCATGCCCAGGCTCAGAGCAATTACGTTTGGAAGGAGTCCGAGCTGATTCTGGCCATGAAGGAGAAGGCTCGCGATGAGCGTAAGTTGCGGAAAGCCTCTGCTCAGTTGATTTATTAACGTATCCTAGGTCGTCCGATGAGTTGGCTATGGAACCAGATCCTGGGCCAATCTACCCTTGCTGGTGCAATTCGAGACGTATTTACTGCGATCTCTAACAGCAAGATAGCTACTGTCCATCTGGCAACTACGCCACCTCTCGATCTGTCGTTGCAAATTCCTGTACCCTCATTCCTCACCAGACTACCAGATTCCACCGAGAGAGCTATGCCGGGACTTTTGGTTACCACTGCCAACCCTCTCATCGACGAAGAAGGTGTTGCCGACCCGACACATCTCAACAAGCACTTCGCTCTGCTCCTATTGGACGATGAGGATAAGATCATTGCAGAGATACAAAATGATAACACAGAACTATCGGCCCCCTTGATTGAATGTATCAGACTCTGCAAGCCGACTTTGTCATTCCTCCAGATTGCTCAGGCCAATTCCGTTGAGCTACCAAGTCTTCTCATCCTCGCTCAGCATCTGATCTACTGGCGTCGAGCTATTGCAATCCCCCCTCTTCATGCGCGTGAGACTTACATTGTTTCGCCTAACTGCGACAATCATAAGCTACCAGCGGCCAGCATTGCTTGGAAAAAGGCATTTACCCTTGCACCAAACCTTCCCTACTTCCTTGCGCATCTCTCCGCTGCCCCGCGACCCTACAAAACCTTCTTCCCCAGCAAGAACCATCGCGAAACTTACCTGGAGATGCTTGGATGGCTCATTCGTGGCGGATGGGCTACGCAACTCCGTACTTTCGCATGGATTCTCGTATGGCCCGAGATCATTTATGAAGTTGAATATGCGCTCAAGGCTGAAGCTTTGCAAAAGAAGGCTAACAGCACTAACAACACCACGCCTGAGAATACGTCGTCTGAGTCTCATGATTCGACAGAAGAGTCAGGGTCGGACAAAGGGAAAGGAAAGGATCCATCAGCTCCGCTCACTACTGAGCAAGCTGCGGAAAATGCACGATTGGAGCGACTTGCTGCGAAAGCTGCTGCAGAGGCCGCCGCTGATGCGGCTGAATTCTCAAAGAAGCCACTTCCGGTTGCGACTGAACACCCGAGCAACAATAAGGCAGAACACCTAAAGAACATCTCGCCCTACATCATCGTCGATCCTCATAAGGTTTCCCACGAAGAGTCGCTGTACATTGCTGCTATTGGAAAGCGCTTCGAAGACACAAAAGTCAAGGAGTGTTGGCTGAAGTTCTCCAAGTACTTTAATGGTAACGAGTCATTGGAGATGATTGGCTTGCGAGAGGGTATGAAACGCAAAGAGGCCTGGGGAATCATCATGAACTTTCAAGAGCACCTGCTCATCACCAAGCATTGGTGATTTGCTAAGGAACTCTTTACTGTATTTATACGTGGAGTTTCGGTGGGTATTGATGGGCGTTGGGGATATTGTTTAGATAGATAGATACCCAGGGAGCAATTAACAACTGTTGGATTAACCAGTTTTATGAACCTCAGTGACATAGATATCATACAGGAGTTTAGGTAGGTTCTTACATCCTGCGACTCATCATCCAGGGTGTTGTATACAAATATAAAACGCGTATTGCATCAATCACCTCTCGAAAACATCAAGATACATGCAGGCCCGGAGACACCTCCGTACATACATACATACATACATACCTAGTATTGCGTAGGTATGTAATTAATTCCGTTCCTGCACCATATTATCAGGACATGAGCGTACGATGATATCATCACCTCCCACCCATTCTCTCCTCCTCCTTATCAAAAGCAAGCAAAGCTGACAAGCGAAAGCCCGGGAAGAAGTGACGTTTTCGTCCCGGTTTCTGTAATTAATCAATCCGAAGACCTGGATCATGGGATGCATTGCTCGTATTCGTTGATTGATTGATCGGGGGTAGGACATTCGTATATATCCTATTATTATTGGTTTGGTGCTGATAAAGGAGGGGTGTCTCACTCCCTAGCTAGTTTCTGTTTGATTCTTGATCCGGGGGGGGG